GATAACCTTTGCAGTTCTTGCTATGGACAGGATTTGTACAGCCATGTTGATTTTTTATAAAAATAGTAAATCGTATTACCCCCATGCTGCAAGACCAAAGATTCACAATGATACCTTAATACAGCTTAAATAAAAATAGCACTACCTGAGTCAATCTGAGGATGATAATGCTTTGTAATCCCGCACTATTAGAGGATGAACAGTTGTATAGCAGTGAATCAACATGAGATACTTGCATTAGGAGACACTCCTTTTTCATGCTATATAGCAGCATCTATACAAAACATAGAAGGCAGGTGGGGTTTGTAGGAGGTATAGTACATGACGGGGAAAACAGCGCTATTATAGACTAATCCAAACCTGGCACCCCACTATCTTCCAGCTTGGAAATCTTGGCTAATGACTTACATTTTTAAAAGCAAAGCCTGCTTTTAAATTTTCCCCTTCACAATAAAGAATTATGAAAAAGTTCAAATTTTAGGAGGTCTCAAAAAAGTGGGCAAACCAAAAGCCTGTGTGCAACGTGGCGGAAGATTCATTCATAAAAACAAGCACAGATGAATAGCAGTGATGCATATTCATTCTGGTTATTTTCTTAATATCCTTGAATGAGTAAACAGCGTATATGGAAAGCAAACACACATAAATATAGAAATGCCTCATCAGTGAAAATAATGAAACGTTTTTATATTAAAAACATAAACAGACTCAAATACTATTTTTTAAAGGTGGTAGGGAAGAAAAATGCAAGCTTTGATTAGTGACCGATTAAACCATAATAAATTCTTCCTAATTACTTCATTACATAAGCCACTCGCACAAGGTACTTCATTTGCCATTGTGTGCTCCCCGTTTGTTCGTTAAGACACATTTTTCAATTCATTGCACTCCGCCCCCCGCCCCCCCCCACTGCAGAAGAGTCGCACGTATGCAGACATCTGGCCTGCACAGCTTCCTCCAGAGGGTTTTAGCAGACTGGGGGGAGACAGGAAAAGGTAACAACACTGAAGGGTCCCCCTTTCCCCAAGGGGATTTGAATCCTCAAACCAGGGAGTTTTCCAAGGCTGCAGCACAGAGGATGCCCAGGGAAAAGGGAAAACAGCCTCTAATTCCCCCTTGTCTTGCCTGCACCCTCCTCCTCCTCCCCGGTGCTCAGCCCAGCTCTGCTGCTGGTTTTCCCTCCCCACAGAGCCCGGATACTCACAGGGAGGGTGACCCTGTGGGACCCTGGGGATGGGGAGGCGGGTGGGCTGTGGGAAAGGCAGGAAGGTGCTGGCGGGGACAGCAGAGGAGGAGCCAGGCTGGTAGGCACCAGGGCTGAGGGATGGGGACATCCCAGTGAGGGGGATGTCCTAGCGATGGAGAAGGTCCCAGACCCAGGCCAGGCCACAGGGAGGTGCCCACGTCCCTGCTCTATGCACAGGAGTATTTCCAAAACCACCCCTGCACCAACGCCAAGAGCATCCCCTGATTTCAATGCTGAGACACAGGTGGCCCTGAGGCACCTCCAGGAGCCCAACCCTCCAGCACTCCACACGACCTCCATTGAGGGGGAGGCACCTGCCCTAGGAAACAAAGGTTGCCCATGTTTCAGTTCAGCTTGCAATTTAAAAATAAAACATTTCTCAAAGACAGTTTTGTAGGACAGATATGTCAGTCCTGGGCCATAAAAAGTTAACACTTCAAAACCTAAGTCATGGGTGTTACGGAATCACAGAATGGCAAGGGTTGGAAGGGACCTCGGGAGATCATCCAGTCCAACCCCCCTGCTAAAGCAGGGTCACCTAGAGCATGTTACACAGGACATGGTCCAGGCAGGCTTTGAATATCTCCAGAGAAGGAGACTCCACAACCCCCCTGGGCAGCCTGTTCCAGCGCTCTGTCACCCTCAGAGTAAAGAAGTTCTTCCTCATGTTCAACTGAAACCTCTTATCTTTCAGTTTGTGCCCCTTGTCCTGTCGCTGGACACCGCTGCAAAGAGTCTGGCTCCATCCTCGTGACTTCCACCCTTAAGATATTTGTATGTGTATGTTGCAGCGATGCATGCCAGCGCTGGCCTGGGGGAGGGAGAAGCCCCATTTCAGCTGCAGAGCCCCGCATCCATGTAAGCAACAGGCAGCCTCTGCTGCTGTTCAGGCCATTTCATGCCCTGTCCTCTGCCTCCCTCGGCCATGGGGCGCAGCCGCTTGTGCACCCCTCCAAAACAGCACAGAGGCTACGGCGATACCACTGCTGCGGCCCCACCTGGCACGGAGACACCCTTGCGCCCACATCACACCTCCAACCCCCTGGGGCAAGCACCCCGGCACACGAGGAACCCCAGAGCCGATTTGGCCGCCCTGCCCAGGGCAGCGCTGGTGCAGATGCGTCTCCCACCCTGTGCCTGGGTGCCGGGTCCCTGCTGCACAGAGCTGCTTATGAGCTTACAGGCAGAAACACGGGTAAGCAGCTTGCCCTGTCAGAGCCCACAGCACCCCGTCAGGAGAGCACCCAAGTGCCTGTTCCCCCTTCCCCAGCCGGCACCCTCACCCCCAGGGGCGCTCAGCTGGAGTATAATTTGAGCTACTTTCAGGCACTTTCATATATATATATATATATATATGAAAAAAAAATTATATACAAAAAAATATATAAAGATACATATATATCTCTATATTTCTCATGACGCTATACTTTGCTCTGAAGCCACACATGTGCCCCTGGCCACTGATTACATTTTGGAAAATGCCCAGCTGGCTCAGCACCAGTCTGCCTTCAAGTCTGTCTCTTGCTGTACATTAAATACAAACCAACGCAGCCAAGCCACCGTCAGGATCCATACGGAAACTGTTCCACCCTGGAGATGTACCTTCATACTGGTACAGATCACTTAAATTCCCAAATTGGAATAAAGGACACACTTGAATTTGAAAAGGTAAGGGGGAATATAGACCATTAAAGCAGCAAAAACATGATGTATAAGCACCCAACACCTCTAAACTCTGCAAAAGTGCATCAGTAGCCCAAGAAAGACCACAGGACCTTTGTGCTTTTGAAAGCGCTACCCAAAAGGACTACCCAGGAGAAAGAAACATTAACTCTGGTAAGCACAGTCTGGAGTATTAAGAAGTTTGGTGTGTGGGGGGGGTTTTGTTTGTTTTTTTGGTTTTTTGTTTTTTAAACTTATAACCTATTCAGGTGTTACCCGAAACAAAAAGAAAAGAAAATCCAATTGTAAGTACAATTTAAACTGACAGTTTAAAATTGCCTGACCTTTACACACATGGCATTACAGTCACCAACCCCATACTCCCCTCTGCCCTCAGGGAAAAAAAAAAAAAAAAAAAAAAAGAGAGAGCTTGATTCATCTTTCAACATCTTAAAAAGATCAACCGATGATTCAGGTCCCAATATAGCAATTATCAGTACAAACAGCGCGCAGGTTTATAATACAGATCCAATCGCAGCTGCAGGGCTGGGGGAGAGGAGGGGTTCATAAGCTATTACTCACAAGAGCATTTTGGCAAAAGGCACACAGGATTCATAATTTGGCCTTATAAGACTCATGGCTTATGGACGTAAGCCTTAGTCAGAAGGACCATCTGGGGTTAAATTAGCTCCCTTAATACAGAAGACACGGATAACGGTTTATGAAGTAGGGGATGCATTCATCAAAGAAAGATGTAATTGGTGACAAATACATTTAAGGGGCATTAAATAAGACCCTTATAAATGTTAAATAAGCATTTTCTGGCCAAAAGAACACATACTTAAGGTGGACACAAGCATGGTACAACACACCAGACCCCAGCAACCTCCCCTGCCCTGCCAAGAAACAAGCACAGATGACTACATCTCAGCTGCATGGACACTTCAAATCAACCTGGGACCATCTGTATCAAAAGGCACCTTATCTATGGAAAACACATCTAATTTGGAAGACGGAGAAGTCCATTAGAGGTTTGGGACATTCGACGGTAGTTCATTAGTCAGTCTGAATACACAAGAGCTCTAATAGCTCGTATCCTGTGCACCAGGGAAGTGCAACTAAAGAATAAACTTCCTGAGCAATTAATGGGTAATGATATAATTCGGTTAATCTCATTGGAAAGAAACCTAGAATTGAAAGAGGAAACAGGGTACGTATTTCTCTAGAAACAACGAAAACAAACAGCAAAGGGTGCTACAGAACAGAGTCCTGGCTGGCATTCGCCGGAAGAGACCGGCTCCGCCAGAGGAAAAGCAATTGCACTGATTTACATCAGCACAAGAGGTGGCTCTCCGGCTGCAAGGCCACAACGTCGGCATTTCTTAGCAATCTCACTCTCCTGCAGCTCTTTGCCGATTTAACATTTTGCTTATTTGCAAATAAGGACCTTAATGAAGTACATACAAATGAAATACATGGAAGTCTTGGGTGCAGGCAGGACAAAAATCAGTCACCCACAGCAGAGATTAGAGCAAGTTATGCAGGCCATTTAACCCTCTGGAATCTGCATTCCTTTAGATCAACACAGACTGTCAGAACATAAGGGAAAAAAAAACCCCTAAGGTCGCTCTCTGACACAGAAAACACTTTCCCCACTGGACAGCGTAGGCTTTTAGTAAAAAAATACAGCACCATTTGTATAGATTTTCACCAAGGTCAAATATTTTTTAAAATATAACATTTATTTCACTCATCAAGTCTAGAAAATTAATTCTGGTGCAAAGGCAAAGGTTAACATCTTGATGCCAAACCCCCACTCAAAGATTAGCCCTGCCAGCTCTACAAATAAAGCATGCTACAAGCTCAGCAAATGCAAACTTCTGCACCCAATGAAGAACAAAAACCAACACTTGTATTTTCTATTACTAATTTAATTTTCCTATTACTAATTTAAAGAGTGCCTTGAAAGGAGCAGGCTCTGGAAAGTACTCACCACCTATCTTGGAACCTCTTCAGAGAAAGTCCACGGGGCTCGATTGCCTGGAGGGAAAGACACAAACCAAACATGCTTTACATTACAGCTTTCTTCTAAGTGACAACCTTCCCACTTGTTGGCCTCCCCTGAAAAAACTAATTTTCCCAGCTGAAAAAGAAATCAGAATTAGTCTAAACATGCAAAAACTTTCCTCCAGTTCTTACCCTACACTGAAAAACAACTTTGTTGCCTGCGTTTGCATTTTATTATTTGTCCTGTAACAGAAAACAGCTTCCATGCTGAAAAATGCACAGATTTCTCTCAAATTCAGATGGCAAATTCTTCTGGCAACCAAAAATCTGCCGAAGGTACCCTTGCTACTTTAAATCTTTTTTGTAAAACTCATCTTTCAAAATAAGCAAGTACCAAGTTAAGATTCAGAAAGTTTGCTCGGCTTATACCTCAAAATATTACTATATCAAGATGGAAAAGCAGGAGAAAAAGAAATAAAATACAAAGGAGCCAGTTTCAAGTTTTCTAGAGCCATTAAGCATGGCTCTGAAAGGTTAGAAATCATTTCTCTTTCTGTTAAGCATTCTTCTCGAGAAAGCAGAGTATAATAATTTCAGCATCTGCCAGCTGTGAATCCTGAGGGTTCATCAGCGCTTAAGTAGTCACAGACAAGAGCACCAGGAGCGAGCCCACCTGCTCCTGCAATTCCCAATCTCTCAAAGTCTGTGGATTAGAAAATCGAAAACAAGTGACTCGCTCTGATTCCCACCCTCACACAGAGCCTTCCTGATTTCCCCCACCGCCAAGGCAAGGCATGGCTGGGAAGCACTCGTATCCTCCAGCCCAATGTATCCAGCCCCACCACACCAACTCCTTTCCTGCCAGACCCTTGTCCAACCCCAGTAACCCCACAACTTCTGCAAACAAAATCCCACTGTTTCAGACCCTATTCCCAGGTGCCTTTAGCCCACCCCTAACACATGCATTTGGTCTGCCCAACGCAAAACCCCGGCCACAGAGATCCCAGACATTACCAAAGCCTCCCAACAGTCTCCTTCAACGCTTTGCCATCCCTAGAAGTAGGAGCTTCTTCCTTTCGTGATACCATTCAAACTCATTACCGCTTGCCCTAACCTCCACGGACATGGGGCAGAGGGTTCATATCTCTCCCCTTGCAGCAGTCTTCTAGACACTGCAAACCCATCGTGCCAATCCTTCACCTTCTCCCCAGACTAAACACCCCAGTCACTCCTTCCCATCTTTCCTCTTGGGTCCTGTTCTTCAGATCCCTGCTGGCCTCTCTCATTTTCTCCACATCTTCCCCCAGATGCAGTGCCCCATGCTGGCTCCAGTACTCCAGCGATGCCAAAGCACCAGGAGATGCAACACAGGACACAGCAAGTCCATCCTCCTGTTCATGGAAGACTGTGTCTGCTGCTGTTAGAGCAGGATGATGCTGGCAAAGCAACGCGTGACCCACCACTATCCCAAGACATTTTTCAGCAGTGCCCCTACAACCACCCCTAGGCAGTCCGCACAGCCAACTCGTTCACCAGGGATAACTGCAAGCCCACGTTAACACCTTCAGGTGTGAATGATGGACCCTCCAAGTTAATGTTCTGGTTTCGTCCAAAGCTATTTGAAAATCCAATCCCTCCTCCCAAGTGCTTGTAACCTCCCCTAGTTTGGTGCTACCTATGGAGTCTGAACCAGTATTTTATCAAATGCATCAGCTACAATGACCCAAGCCACAGGGTCCCCCTCTCGAAATCCCCACCCAATACTTCTTCTGAGCTTGATGACATCCCTGGAGCTAAGCCTGGAGGCACAGTTAGCACACCTACATTGCACCGTCCATAAGGCAAAAGTTTCACCAAAATTTCTTTTCCCTAGCTTCCTTCTGAGAATATCAAAACCGTGCCAAAAACCAAACTAGGATTGAAGTACATCATATCGTCTGCTCTTCTTCTATCCACAAGACCTGTTTTCCTGTAGAAGGAAATCAGGATGTCTGACATGATTTGTTCCAGACTAATCCATGCTGACTGTTACTCATAAGCACCCAGAAGACACCTAGGTGGGAAATATTTATTAACTTCCAGGAAAATACTGTAATAAAAGTCAGACTGACTGTACTACAATTCCATCTCCTCCTTTTTAAAAGAATTAGCACTGTATTTTTTGCTTTTTCATTGTTATGGAAACCTCACAAATTCGCCACAGGTTTTCAGAAATAATCACCCAGAATAAATTGAAAAGCACCAAAGCCAAGCAGCCAGCTGAAATCCAGCTCCTTCTACAAATCATGAGAACAAGACAAGCATCACAGAGGTGAGGTCAGGGCATCCTACCCTGCCGTGGGGTCACCAGCCACCCCCTGCAGGTGCCCTCTCCCCTGATCACCGGTGGTACTGGTTGACCGGCTTTGACTGAAGGCCAACCTTGCCATATGCATCCTCCCAACATCTGGGGGGTTGTTTTAAACAAACCCTTCCCTAAGGCCCAGAGAACCTCGAAGAAAAAATAAAGAATAAAAGAAAAACCCTTAAATGAGTGCTCCCTAAATGATTCTTTTCCTATTTTATCCTGGTCTCTTCCCTTGTCGCTGCAGATGTTAACTACATCAGTCTCCTGCTCACAGGAAGAGAAGATCCAAGACTCCATTAAATTTTCTGTTACTTTTGAGATCGCCAGGCAGGCACTCACAGCAATACAAGCATTTAAACAAGTCATTTTAGCTTCAACATCTTTTTAGGAAGAAAACCCAGTATCCTCATTTCATACAGGGGTGGGTGTTATCTCTCCAAGCTGCCAACCCAATGGAAAGGCAAGGTAAGGATTGAACCTGGTCAATGGCAAAATAGGAAACACATCCCAGAAGCTCTTCTGATTTCTCTTCTGTGTTGCTGGTAGAAAATTGTTGTGCTTTCCCCATTCAACAAACCTTACAGAATAGTGCAAGATTATTTGGCCATATTTATACCGTCAAAATAAATGGCATTTCCCAGACCTTGGCTAGATTCTGGCATCTGAAAGGACTTCAGGGGGAAAAAAGACGGCTACTTAAATTCTTATAATCATACAAAACTTGTGCTCCGACCCAATGGAGTAGAGGGTAACCAGACAGCACATGCTAATTTCTATGTTAACAGCACATGAAGTATTTAAATCCACTGCCAATTAAAAGTAAGGTATAATTGAATTAGCAGAAGCAACTTATGGCAGAAATTCAATTACGAAGCAGAATTAAAGGAAGAGATGTCAGTAACTTTTGGAGGCTGGGCAGGAAGAGGCGAATGCATCAATCTACTATTTTCAGAGCTGCCAGCAAAAAGCTTAAGGAGGAGACTGCTCCAAAGAATCATTTGTAGAGATCCTCCTTATATAAAGGCCTTCACTGATGGACTAGAGAAACCAAGGTGACAAACGGGTTTTTTTCAGACCACGCTTTGACCGATCTGGCAGGGGTAAAAGTCCCTCCTGCCAGTCACACATCACCCACCCCTGCCTCCCCCGCGGGCACTGCAGCTCTGCCACGTCCTGCAGCGTCTTCGGACCTGCCTTAGCTTGCACCAAAACGGTTCCAGACACCTTTATTTTTCTTTTGTCTTGTTTTCCAAAGTGATTTTAACCCCATTCCTTTGCTTCGAGTCACAGACATTATGTATTAAGTAGATTTCTTCCTACGTGATGGAGAAGCTTCAAGTGTTGTCCTTCGATGGCCATTATTTTACCCTGCCCTGTTCTAGCCTCCATTTGTTCCCCTTTGGCTGATACTACCCTTGATCAATCTCGATGCTGATTAGTGATAAGGCGCTCCCACACCTCTAAGGTTCAGCTTTCATACCTGCATTAAGACAAATCAATACTGTTATTAACGGTGCTACGCTTGTAGACATTGTGACCTGGCTGCAAACACCGCATGCAGCAGCGGAGGTAACCCCCAGCACTACATGAAGTCTCTGCTCCCCCCCAATTGCAATGTCTTTTTCAACTACACTCTGTCATTTTATAAAAATGTGTTGGGTTTGGCTTATTTTTTTCTTGCAAATGCAAACTGGTGAGGGCTTGTAGGACATACAGTTTTGCAGTCCCTGTTACATGTGGGTAGCAATAGTCCGTGGGCAGTCAAGAAGCGAATTGACCTGTCCCTTGCTGTGCGGTTGGACTAGATGATCGTTGTAGGTCCCTTCCAACTGAACTATTCTATTCTGTTCTAATTGTTTTCCAGTGCCCCCCAGCTGGCCAGCTCATCACCCACTACTGCACCTCACCTTTGGCTGTTGCACTTCCACACACGCTTGTGGATGCATCCAGACTGCATGTGTAGCTGTGCCAGCACTCCTGCCGGCTGACAAACTGCTCTGGAATGTGTCCACCCACCCCTTCCCCCATAGCACAGACCCTTCCCCCTCACCTCTCACCCCCTCTCTCCCCCTCACCTTTCCACCATGCTCAGAGCCCACCCAGCAGCTCTGAGAGGTCCCACCTTGACATATAATTCAACCCAAGTGTAAGGAAACTCCCAGAGGACTCTATCCTCCAGATTTATTTTCTTTAAGGCCCCTACATCCCAGAAGAGGGGTCAGTCAGTTCACCCTGTCCATCAAAGGACTGTCACCACCCAAGCTCATTTCCAACCTGCCTAAGTCTCAGAGATCACGTACACCGCTCGGCATAGAATAGTTTAGGTTGGAAAAGGCCTTTAAGATCATCAAGTCCAACCATTAACCTAACCCTGCCATCCCACCACTAAACCATGTCCCTAAGCACCTCGTCTATCCATCTTGTAAATACCTCCAGGGATGGGGACTCGACCACTTCCCTGGGCAGCCTGTTCCAATGCTTGACAACCCTTTTGGTGAAGAAAGCCCAGCAGAGGCTCGTTTCCCTCAGCTCCCAGGCAGGTTTTCTAGCCCACACCGAGCTCCAGGGTGCTATAACTAGAGATTTATATGCTGGCTAATGTAAAAGCTAATTCAAGTGTTCTCCTCAATACCCTGCAATGGCTGTGGTGCAGATACACCTCAGGCTGTGCATCCCCTGAGGGGCCAGCA